AGAGGCACGCTTTTAATCCCAGTACTCGGGAGGCAGAGGCAGAGGCAAGCGGGTCTCTGAGTTCAAGGCCAGCCTGGTCTACAGAGCAAGTTCCTGAACAGCCAGGGCTACAAAGAGAAACCCTTTCTCCAAAAACCAAAACAAACCACCCACAAATACATACCACAGTCTTTCATTTAGCAATATCTATGAATATTAACCTAAGGTTATACGGTCAAGCATAATATAAAAGCCATGCTTGCTTTGAAGCATACACTACAACTGGAATGATGAGCATGGTCCTGTGTGGGAAAGGCCTGCACATTTATGGAGCATTACTTAATTCCTAGTGTGAAACTTTAGGTTATTTTTTATTTTGTTTATTTTGTTTTTTGAAACAGGGTCTCTGTGTAGCACTGGCTGTCTTGAAACTAGCTCTGTAGAACTGGCAGGCCTCGAAACTCAAAGAGATCCATTTGCCTCTGCCTCCCAGAGCAAAGATTTACTGTCTTACTATATCACTCTGAATGTATCTATGGGTATGTGTACTAGTTTGGGTAATTTTGGACAAGTCTTAACATTTGAACTTTAGTTTTCTCATGTGGAAAAATAAAGACAGTAACTATAAGATTATGAATGAGCTTATGGAATATATACTCTTTCATTTATACAACACATGACTAGCATGTACCTAATAAAGCCTGGTCACATGCCAGACTCTCAAATATCTGTTGATCAAAAAGTGAGTATTGTATTACCCAGCATAAAAGAGGTGCAGATCGCTGCCAGGCGTTGGTGGTGCACGCCTTTAATTCCAGCACTCGGGAGACAGAGGCAGGTGGATCTCTGTGAGTTCAAGGCCAGCCTAGTCTAAAGCGTGAGTGCCAGGACAGCCTCCAAAGCTACACAGAGAAACCCTGTCTCGAAAAACCAAAAAGAGGTGCAGATTGCTAGCTGAGATGAACAACAAGAAGGACAACACTGATCCTAACCACAAATCAGACAGTAACTACATCACCTGTGTGACATGCTGAAGTGAACGTGTGGAAGGCTCTCTAACCTGAAATTTTTACTAATTGGAGTTCTCAGTCCAGGTGGCAAGTCAGAACAGAAGAAATATGGTACTAAATGCTTAACTTTCTGGGGTTACTGATCCTATTCTGACAAGTACAAGATTTACCTCACTTATTTTAAATATAAAGAATTTTAGTTTAACTGAAGCCACAACAGCAGCTACATTCCTTCTTAGAAAACAGAAAGAAATGCATGGAGGCTGAAATCCTGGGGAAGATGATTTCCTGTTGACATAAGGAAAAGTAGGACTTTGAAAGAAGTGTGGCAGGCATGGTGGCATCCACCAGTAACCCCCGCACTCAGAGGCTGAAGGATGAGGGCTGTCAGCTCAAGGACAGCCAGGCTACGTACCAAGGTCACATCTCAACCCCTCCCCAACCCTCAGTAAAATAAGATAAGTAAGGGAACTCTGAATTTAAAACCTGATACTTGCATCCTCTTAGCTCTATAACTAGATATATTCCTAAAGCCTTTACCTGTTTCCTTGACATAAAGTGGGACACTTGCCAACCCTGCTGTGCTACTGAAGGGTCTGATGAGACATTGTTGCCTCACCATGCACTGCCTGGCACAGAGCAGGAGTTTAATAGGAGGTTTCATATGGAGGGACCTTGGACACGGAGACATCACGTTCTTATAGGAACACGTTCGCAATATTAGATGTTGGGATCACAAGAATTACTCACAGAGATTCTGGGCTGTCTTTGAGTCCAATACTTTTAGCTCTTTTACTTTTTTCTTTTGTACAGATTTCTTTTCTTCTCCACCTTCTTGATCCTTCTTGGCTAGCGAGGGAAATTAGAAAAACACAATTAAGGATAAACCACCTTTATACGTTAGTGAATTACAACTGTCCTGGCAGAATGGCCTTTACTTCCTCTCTGTCTCTCCATTATATTCCTTCAAGGCTAATCTCATTAGCCACTCTTCTATAGCTGAATGCCCCCACAAGAATATCTGCTTCCCATTTCTTCAATAGTCATCAGTAATGCTTTCATCTTTAAATAGAATCTACCTACAGGGAACAGCTAATTCTCTATGAAGAGCCAAGAGTAAATAAATATTTTAGGTATTATAAGCCATATATGGTCCATCTCAACTTAAAGTTTATTTTCATTTTATGTGTACCAGTGTTTTACCTATATGTCTGTCTGTGCACCATCTGTGTGCACTGACCTTGGAGGCCAGAAAAGGGTGTCAGATCTTCTGGAACTGGAGTTACAGACAATTGTGAGCTGCCCTATGGATGCTGGGAATCAAACCCAGGTCCTCTGAAAGAACAGTCAAGTGCTCTTAGCTGCTGAGCCATCCCTCCAGCTTGCCATCCCCATCTCAAATTTTCAGTCCCACTACTGTAGCATGAATATAGTACATAAATAAATGGCATGGCCATACTCTAATAAAACTTCGTTCAAAAACATTTTTGTGATATAGCTTTCTGACCCCTATACTAAGGGTCTCCTACAGTTACTCTTAGGCCTACTAAAAAGCTTCATTATCTTTCAAAGTCCACACTGAACATGGCTTTTCCCTATAAAAAATGGTTTTAGTTTCGCCAACTGCTTATGATCTCTCTCATTCACTGGTGAATCTGAGCAAAAAAAAAAAAAAAAAAAAGTATAATAAACTCCTTTCCTTCCACACCCCTCTTCACTATGCAAGCAGCGTATTCACCCCGTTCCACAAGTCTTCCTCAATAAATGTACCCAGTTCTCTGCTTTGATAAACTAATCCTCACTCCATTTGTGATCTGTTTCTTACTCAATATTTTTCAATGCTTCATGACATATATGTATCATCCTGATTTTTTTTTAAAGCCTGTGTTCCTTTAAGTGTGGATGTTTTCTCATTCAAATTCTCATCTCAATTTTGAGCTTCAAGGACACAGGAAAAATATTTCATTACCATTTCTCCAACAGTTAACTATAGCAAAATTCACTAAAAAACGATCAGCACTAGTTCTTGAGGAGGGCTGAGCAGTGCTCAGAAAAGGAAAAAAGGACTGTACTGGGCAGACATAACTCTATAATGTAAAGTGGTGTCAGCTTAGCCATATAGCAATAGCCCTGAAAGTCGAGAAACTAACAAAATCAACTGCTTTTGAGGAATGGAATGCTTGAATACAAGGAGTGGGAAAATACTTTTGAATATACTTTTGATTATTTTTGAGTCAAGATTTTTACTAAATAGCTCTGGCTAACCCAGAACCCTTACTCTTTAGATCCGACTGGTCTCAAGTTTTCAACAATCTTCCTACCTCTGCCTTCCAAGTAGTGCGATAACAGACATGTACACTAATGCCTGGCTTAACATAGGCCATTTTTATAACATTTGATAGTGAGACCACATATAAAATATTTGGCAAAAACAGTAAGTTATATGACAAAAGGTACACGAAACTATTAAAAAGTCATCCTTGGGCTGGGTATATAGGTCAGTAGTAGAGACAATGCCTAGTACCACAGGGTAAATGTCATTTATCCCTTTGACCTAGGAGTTCCACTTTAAGAAATGAAACTGTTAAATACATGAAGAGTCATTACTAATGACTTATTGAGACATTAACTTGTGGAGGGTTGTGTTGGGCAATGAAAATAAGACAAATTAACAAAATACAAGAACATGCTTCGTTTTAATAAAATGAAACAGACTACGCCTTCCCAAGTGATGAGATAACTATGTTATATGACAGTAAGTGTTGTGAAAAGAAAAATCAAGCAGGGAAGAGAATCAGAGACTTGGCAGGGAGATGGATTAAAACCTTAGGTGGGTGGGGAATGGCTGACTGAAAAGATCATGTTTAAGTAAAGGCCATTAGAAGGTAGGGGAATGAGCCTGTGTCAGCTAATCTTGGTTGTCAACTTGACTACCATCTATAATCAACAAAAATCAAGCTGCTGGGCATGTTTGTGCGGGAACTTCTCTCCTCTCCCACACTCTTCATTTGTTTTTTGAGACAGCCTGGCTGTCCTGAAACTCAACTCTACAGACTAGACTGGCCTGAAACTCAGACATACACTTGCCTCTGCCTCCCAAGTGCTGGGATTAAATGTGTGTGCTACCATGCCTGGAAAGTTTACATTTGTTTCCAATTTATTATGTGTAGAGATCTGTGTAATTTGATATAGGTACCATGTAAGTACTAAAAAGTCAACAAAAGCCGGGTGTTGGTGGCGCACACCTTTAATCCTAACACTTGGGAGGCAGAGGCAGGCAGATTTCTGAGTTCGAGGCCAGCCTGGTCTCCAGAGAGTGCCAGGATAGGCTCCAAAGCTACCCAGAGAAACCCTGTCTCGAAAAACAACAACGACAACAAAAAAGAGTCAACAAAATACAGTAAGTAGAGTAAAGCTAAAATAGAGTGCTACTATGGAAACATGTCAAATGACTACAGAAATAGAAAAAATTTCATGAACAGGTGCAAACCAACTCACATCAATGAACAAAGGAAGATCTAATCAGGGACTGGCTAACTTCTGACTGAAGTACTATACATGATGTGCTGGCTACTTTTATGTCTCCTTGACATAAGCTGGAAGTGAGAGTCACTGGGGAAAAGGAAGTCTCAGCTAAGAAAATGCCCCTACCAGATTGGTCAACCTTGTGGTGCATTTTCTTGATTGATGACTGATATGGAAGAGCCCAGCTCACTGTGTGCAGTGCCACCCTCGGGCTGATGGTCCCGAGTGCCGCAAGAAAGCAGGTTAAGCCAGCCATGAAGAGCCAGCAGTGTCCCTTCATGGCTTCTGTTCCAGCTCTTGCCTCCGCATTCCTTCCCTGGCTTCCCTCTTCCCTCTTATAAGCTGGAAGGTAAAATAAGCCCTTTCTTTCCCAAGCAGCTTTTGGTCATGGTGTTTCATGTCAGCAGAAATCCTAACTAAGGCAGACAATAAATAATTTAGGTTAGCACATCCACTTAGTTCTGCTGGTAAAATATGAAAGCAGTGATCCATAATAAATCTTTA